TTGTTCAGTAATATCTATATAATTACCTTCAACTTGTTCAGTAATATCTATATAATTACCTTCAACTTGTTCAGTAATATCTATATAATTACCTTCAACTTGTTCAGTAATATNTTGTTCAGTAATATCTATATAATTACCTTCAACTTGTTCAGTAATATCTATATAATTACCTTCAACTTGTTCAGTAATATTTATATTAAAATTTATTACAGGAATATATACAGTATTTCCTACAATTGGATTTCCAATATAACCATATGGATTCTGTAATACAGGAAAATATTTAATTTTAATATACGTGATTTAAAAAAAAAAAGAAAATAAACATAATACTCATAATACATACATTTATAATTTGCTGAACATTTGATTCAACATTATTTTCAGGATTACTAGCTTGTGAGACCTGTGAAACAGGAAATTATTTGATTATAATGTGCATGATCTGTAATAAGAGCAAATATGATAAATTCAAATATTATACTATTTCATCTGCTGACGGTCTCATTGAAATGCACTGATCTATAAATTCTTGGCCTTTGATAAGTTTAATCAAATCACATGTTGGGAACCATTTTGCATGTTCTACCCATGGGTTATCCATATTTGTCCATTGAAACAAACCACCGTCGCAACAATAACATCTAACATGATCTTGGTATCCTATAGAAGATATTATTGTTATTATTATTATTATTATTATTATTATTATTATTATTATTGTATTAAAAATTGAATTGTTCTAAAGAGAATATAATGCTTACCACTGTAATAAAATCCAGCATCAGCTAACATCTCAGGAGTCAGTGGATGGTCAGTAGGCCAATTAGCATAACTTCTTAGTCTAGTTTCAAAAGAAGATTGACATGGAGTTCGTATCGAAGTAAGGGTGTTCACACCTAAATTTTCACTATCAATAGTAGAACCATAAAATATGTTTATATGTGATAATTGATTAGTACCTGCAAAGAAAATGTACAATATAAATGATATGTTTTGTTAAAAATGTAATAACATATTTTGATATTATACCAGTATAAATATTACCGATATCGGATCTCAGATAAAAGTCACAACTGGGAAAATGAATTCTGTGTTCTGTAATCGGATCACTGCCAGATTCCCATTGATATACAATACCTCGACAGAAAACGCATATTACCTAGATTTGTTAATATCAAATAATATGTATATATGTAAATATGAATCATAGTGCAAGGGGTTTGAAATAAGATGTATGTATTTTATAAAAAATAGAAATATAATTACCGAGTCTGCTTCATTACTATAAATGAAGCCTGCTCTAGCAAGATTCTCAGGTAACACTATGTTAGGTATTGGCCAAGTGGCAAATGTAACCAATCTCTGATTATATGTTACAAAATTTCTTTCAAATTCTTCTCCATTTACAGATATTCGCTGATCTGTTTTACTTTGACTTCTTGGCCTACCATTTATTTGTGGTTCAACATTTAAATGTGGTACACCATTTAATTGTGGTTCACCATTTAATTGTGGTTCAGCATTTAATTGTGGTCCAGCATTTGATTCACTACTGTAATTAAATGCTGCTGGTACACGAGGTACGTTACAAGTGCTAGATGGATTTAAGACGAAAGGACAATGAGGTGCAATAATACGATGAAGAATAACAACTTGATCCCCGTAACTCCATTCAATGATTCTTCGACCGCATAAAAAACATTGTACTTCGAGACCTACACCGGTGTAATAAAATCCTGCTCTGGCTATCCGTTCTGCACTAACTGGAGCAGTGCTAGGCCAATTGTAAAATGTTCTTAACCTATTCTCTTCGTGATTCATTATTTAATAAATATATATTAACTTATTTTTACAATTTTATCTAATCAATTATGATAAAATAGTCTCGGTTATAGGAAAATACTTGATTATTTCAATGATATTTATTTATTTATTTCATTAGGTTAGTTTTATTAAAATTCAATAGGTTAATATTTAAATCTATGTTTTTTTTTAGAACTTGTAAGATTTATTTTAATTTATTTCACATTTAAATTTGATTATTTATTTAAAAACAATATTTAAAATCACTTTAAATCAACACATAATTTGAACAATTCAGTTAAACAATGACAGATGTTTATGTAGGAAATTCTAACGTTGAAAATTTCCCTTATTTAAAATCTTTTCAATATCAGAGGGCATGATAAACGTTATAAGAATGTATTTATATAAATTTAATAATAAATATTTTTCATGTTTATTTCATTTTTATTTAATACATAATTGTATTAATGTCAAGTAATTGCAAAATTAATTAAATAACAATTATGTATATATATATATTTTTTTTGTTAATTAATAACATTATTTTATATATGTATATAAAATTAAAATAATGAAATAAATTTGAAAAATTCGAATTCTTAAAATTGGAATTCGAGTTTTTTTTCCTCAGGGAGGCCATAGAAAAGATGGTGCCCCGTCTCTTAAGATTTATTATTTATTAACGATATTGTTTTATAAAAGTAAATATCATTAAATATTTTTTATTAAAAAACGAATAAATGCTTGTAATATTAAATTACTTAATAGTAGATAAAAATTATTTGTTTAACAAATGTTACAACAATGAAAAATTAAAGTAATACGTGATCATGCTACATCATTGACATAGTGATAATTTTAACCAATAAAATGCTCGTAACTGATAAGCATAGACAGTGATGCCAAAACGTGGAATTTTCTCCCACGTGGGAGCCTTCGTGCGCATGCGCATGTTGACGTTACAGCTCAACGGCGATTATTTCCATGGACGTATCTATGTGCAACAGTAGGTATGCATAAAGGGCCCTTCCCAGTTTACCGTATTTTAATTGTCATGGGGGTCTAACGATACCCCATATTTGAGTGAAGTATATACGTTACTGAGGATTAGATAGTGCGCATGCGTGGGAAAACCCCCCACGTTCTGGCATTAAGACAGGTTAACTACTTGTTTGTTATCTTAATAACAGTGATATGATAATATTTGTATGCACAGTGGTGTAAATATTTTTATTGGTTTTTAATATCTAATTAATTAGAATAATGTCGTTTTTTAAAATGGGTGCTGTAAAAAGAATTTTTAATGTAAGTTGATATATATATATATATATATATATATATATATATATATATGATATATTGTACATATATTATATATAAAATATTGCAAAATTTATTTGTGATATTAATACGAGATATTTTTCTTTTAGATTAGTGTGATTAATCTAAGGTCATACAGTAATAAAGTAAAACTAAATGATGTAGTTATAGTCAGCGCAGTAAGAACTCCTGTGGGTTCATTTTTTGGATCTCTTTCTAATTTACCTGCAACTAAACTTGGTGCAGTTGCTATACAGGTAATTGAATTCATAATTAATCAATTGTTTCTATATATTATCTATCATATAACACTTTAGAGTTCCTTCATTGTTTATTGTTTCACTTCTTTTTCCTCTGTCGTCAAAGTTTTGTTTTCAAAAGTTTTGGTAAAATACTTTAGTAAAGTATCTTCTGTGTATATAGAAATGTATAAAAAAAAAACTAATTATAATTTTATTCTTATTAGGGAGCGATTGAACGTGCTGGTATTACGAAAGATCAAGTTAAAGAAGTCTACATGGGCAACGTTTGCCAAGCTTTTCTTGGTCAAGCTCCAGCCAGGCAAGCTACTTTATTTGCTGGTATGTTTATTAGTAATTAATTTTATTGAAATTTGTTGAAACGTAAAAAGTTCATTTCTAATTTGTATAAATTTAATATTACTAATTAGATCTACCCAAATCAACAATTTGTACAACAGTGAATAAAGTTTGTGCAAGCGGTATGAAGAGCGTTATGCTTGCTGCTCAATCATTGCAATGTGGACATCAAGAAATTATATTAGCTGGTGGAATGGAATCTATGTCCAATGTACCGTTTTATCTTAAACGAGGTGAAATCAGTTATGGTGGTGTAAGACTCGAGGTAACATTTAATATAAATATATTTAATATTATTATAACTTAAACTTTATGGTAGTTGTATTTAATTATTATAGGATGGAATTGTATACGATGGCTTGACCGATGTATATAATAAATTTCATATGGGTAACTGTGCTGAAAGTACTGCTAAAAAATTTAAGATTACACGTCAAGAACAAGATGAATATGCTATTAATAGTTATAAGCGTAGTGCTGCAGCCTATGAAAAGAAAGTTTTTAAAGATGAACTTATACCAGTCAATGTACCTCAGAAGAAAGGTAAACCTGATGTTATTTTTGCAGAAGATGAAGAGTACAAGAGAGTGAATTTTGATAAATTTGATAAATTAAATACTGTTTTCCTGGTAAATATTTCAACGTTAGATTTAAATGATTTATAAATAAGTATTTATATATATATAACATATCATATATAATAAATCAGCTTTAACAAATATTTTCATATTTCTAATATAGAAAGAAAATGGAACGATAACAGCTGGAAATGCGTCGACATTAAATGATGGTGCTGCTGCTTTAATTTTGACTACTGCTGATGTAGCACAAAAATTAAATCTTAAACCTTTGGCTCGTATAGTAGGTTTTCAAGATGCTGCTACAGATCCCATTGATTTTCCAATTGCGCCTGCATTAGCTATCCCTACTGTATGGTGTTTTCTTTTTTTATATTTATTTATTGGCATATTTTATAAGTAATAAGGTTTTAAATTAAAAGTGTATTTATTTGATCGTATATTGTAGTTATTAGAAAAGACTGGATTAAACAAAAATGATATAGCTCTTTGGGAAATTAATGAAGCATTCAGTGTCGTCGTAGTAGCTAATCAAAGATTACTGGACATCGATCCTTCCAAAGTAAATGTACATGGTGGTGCTGTATCACTTGGACATCCAATAGGGTATGTAATAAATAAAATCATAAAAGATGACAAACTTATTACATGTATTTTTCAAATTTTAGTATGTCAGGAGCTCGAATAATTGTGCACTTGGCACATGCATTAAAATCTGGAGAGAAAGGGCTTGCATCTATCTGCAACGGTGGAGGTGGTGCTTCATCGATTGTAATAGAAAAATTGTAAGTGGACTTATAAAGGGAAAACGATTTAATCAATATTGTATAATACAAAAGTCTTCCATATGAAACTTTATAATACGCTATTTTTATACATAAGTTATATTTTTACAGTTTCATATATTTTATACACAAATCATATTGATAATATGAAAATAAATGTATCGTTTTAATAAGATCTGATTGATTAGAAAATATTTGTTTAAAAAATAGTTTCATAGATAGAGACAGATTTATTATTTGTTAGGTACCATCCAGTTTCATCTCCGCCAAAATTAATGCTATATACAAAGCATCCTTGTCCTCTTTGCGATATTTTAAAAGAAGAATTGCGTTTACGTTTTGCTGGTCGATATCAATTGGAAGAAGTTGATATTACAGCTTTGGGAAATGAAGAATTTTTAAAACTATATCGATATGAAATACCAGTCCTGTTTTTAGAAGGCCAATATCTTTGTAAACATCGTTTGGATTCTGATCTCTTAGAAAGAAGACTTAAAGAGTTAACATTATAATAAATTTGATATAATAAATTATAAATATTTTATCTTAGATTATAATTACTGTATAAGTGAATACAGACATATATTCTGAAACAGTCTTCACATTAGACTCATAAAGACTTTGTACACAGTAGAACGAGAAAAGCAACAGAAGTTGTTAGATCAATTTAAAACTCGTCCGCCTTCGCTGCTTCTTTCTTCTTTTTCTTTTCCTATGAAACGTGTATCTTAGCACGTATAAACATATTCACCTTTCTCTTCTTACTCATACATTTGATCCCCTCTCCTGAACATAAACTCTTTTTATGCTTTTATACTACAAGCCTCGTTTACTCCAACTGCAGTCATCAATAGTGTGTCAACAAAGTAATCATAATATTAAATAAAGAAGTACTTGAACAAATGATGTAAAAAGTAATGAGAACAATATTATCATATGTTCCAATTCATTCATTCCAAATTATTCTTAAAAAGAAAGAAAATATATGAAATGAGTAGACCCTTTGCATAGGGTGTTGTAAGGTGTTATATTTGTATAAAATCGATTAGAATTTTCCAGTCTGTTGGACACATCTATAGAAAGGAAACAATAACATTGCTAAGGGTCGACGTAAGCCCTTATTCATTTCTCAATGATCAAATAAATTCGCTGAGCGTTTGTTTTCGAATATGAAAAGTCTTGGAAAGATTACCCCCACTCTTGGATATAGGGATAGGGTTCTCAACCGATTTTGATGTAACTTTATAGAGCTATGAGGATCGGTATATGGTGGAATGGAATCGGTGAATGCACCTAACATCTCCTATCTCTCTTTCTCTTTCTCTCTTTCTTTCCTTCTTCTCTCATGGAGGGTCGTGTCCGTTTTCTTCTTCAGTGCGTGCATTACGCGGATACCGTCTGGTACACGTTTCTCCTGGCGCCTACGTGGCACAAATGTTAACGAGTACCAATTTTGATATTCTAGTATTTTGTTATGGTAGATGTTTGTTTAGAAGATCGATTGAGTTATTAAAAGAGAGGATTATATACCGAATAAGACCTAGATAAGGGAAAGTATTGTGAATGATAAAAAAACTTTAGAACGGGTGGGGAGAGACCAAGAAGATAAAGAGGAAGAAGAAGAAGAAGAAGAAGAAGAAAAAGAAGAAGAAGAAGGAGGAGGAAGAGGAGGAAGGAATAAACTCAGTGTCCATTTAGGGCGATTCGAGAAATTTAATTTGCAATGAGGTTTAGTCATTGCAAGTGTATTTACAACGTTTATTAACGTAAGATATAATTTTAACAAGAATTGTAAATGATTCATTTAGTTTTCATTAATAATTTTATTAGAATAACGTGTATATGTACATTTTAAAGATTTAAATAGGAATATACATGTACTCTCTGTGTGTGTGTGTGTGTGTGTGTGTGTGTATGTGTAGATTTTGATAAATGTTTAATAATAATTGAAACTTGAAAGGATTTTTCAATTGATTGATTTATAACGTTGACGTCATTACATCATAATCATTTATTCGATCGTCGTTTTATTCTAATATTCTTTTGATTATAGAAACAATATATACTAGTTATAAATATTAAATAATAAAATAGAATAAATAAATATTTTATAAATAAATTGAAAAAAAAAATAAAATAAAAAAATATTCTATTGGATTTGTTTTTTTTAAATTTGAAATAATTTCAGACTAGACGATTATATTGAAGCACGCACGAGTTGAGAGGATTTTGACCTTCTTTATATGTAGTATGCACGCACACATACACACACACACATGTATATAGACCAGACTTCCCTTCGTTTGATTCAACTCGATTCGTGAACTTTTCGAAAGGTCAATCATGTCGTTTATTCTCTTCTTTTCTTAACGATTTCAATATGTTAAGTTAAAAAGTTATTCAAATATATTACATTTTTGCGCCCTTCAATTTGAATTTTCATACAATTATTTGAAATCGAAGGTGGCACTGCAATCGTTAACCTTGTCAAGGATATTTCAAACATACGTGTTATACGTTCAATTACGAAATTATCATAATTATTTCATCACGATTAAAAATAATAGAATAATCTTTGAAGGTTTGATAGAATTATTCTCATATTTCATTAAATATAGAAAATTATTTTTTCGTTAAAACAAATATTTTCTTGCAAACAGATCAATTAATTTATTTTTCAAAGAGGTTATAGTTAATTGTCAATGATTTGAAAAATCATATTGTCCCGCTCTTTTGTTTCTTTTTTCAAATCAACCAATAATAATCATTCGTCGAAATTTCCCTCCCTTTTTTGAATATTTCAAAAAAAAAATAAAAAGAAAGTTTCTTTTTTTATGTAATAGAGAATGTAAGAGACAAGTATTCGTATAAGAGAATAATTTCTTTTTTCTTTTTGTAGGTCTGGTTTGAAAAGACAAGTGGAGGTGGTAAAGAAAGGAAGAAAGAAGAAAGAAGAAGAAAAAAGAAAGAAAGAAAGAAAGAAAGAAAGAAAGAAAAAAGAAAGAACGTCGATGTACGGTAGACATAAGAGCAAGGGTAAGCATCTCAGATGGCGTTGCGATCGTCGAACTCGATCAGTTCACGAACTTTTGAAAGGGCCGCCGCTCCTTAGGAACCAGTTGCAGCAGGTCGTCTCGTAACACGGACGTGAGATTTCGTCTCTCCGTAAATTTAAGTTTAATTAATTAATCAATTAAATCTAAAAAAAAATAATTAACGTTTAACAATTAATCATAAATTAAATCAATATTAAAAACAAATACAATCATCGATGATTTTCAATAGTAGTAGTAACGGTTAAGAGTATAAAAAAAAAAAAGAAGAACAAACCAATAAAATGCGGGTCAATCGTGACAAATTCTTGTGTCCTCATTCGGTGCACCGTAAAATATAAATAAAAATTAATTAAATATTAATGTGTGACAATAATTAAATAACATTTTTAATTAATTTTCATTGAAATATTACAAACAGTGAACACATTTTGCGGGTGTTGTTGAAATGTTTAAATCAAAATTTTCAATTGAGAGTTATTATAATTATTATTATTATTATTATTATTATTATTCGGACTTTGTGTTTGACAGTAGTGAGTTTGACATTTTAAAAGAAGACAATGAGAGAGGAGATGAGGAGACCAAAGAGGAATAACATCTCACAATGTGCGTCGTTCTTCTGTGACCCGAATGTGTCGTGACACCGTACAGAAAAGTGTTTGGAAAGGAGGAGGAGAAGAAGAAGGAGAAGGAGAAGGAGGAGGAGGAGGAGGAGGAGGTGGTGGAGGTGGCGTGGAAGGTGGAGGAGGCGGAAAAAGAAGAAGAAGAAGAAGAAGGAGAGGAGGAGGTGAACGTCTGTGAACGAAATACGAACGAGTTTCTCGAGGAGACAAAGAATATTGAAAACGTAAGTTAAATGTTTTCACTATATTGGTTTCTTTTTTTCTTTTTGTTTTTTTTTTTTTTTATAAAGAAAATGTTTATTTAAATTTTATTTTGTTCATTATCTGTCAAATAATTGTTAATGTTACAGTTGAATAATTTATGACGTTTGCGTGACGTTTTCAAGTTCTCTTCCTCTCTGCATTATTTCTTCACTCTCTCTCTCTCTCTCTCTATTCATATGTGTAGGTGAATGATTTGCATTTGAATATAGAGTTCTTTTTTTTTAGGACACCTTGTATGCAAAAGTAAGTAAAAAAATGTTTTTTTTTTTTTATTTCTTTTATTATATTTGATCATACGAGTTGAGAGATCCTTGAATATATTTCCGGGTCACCGTAAACAGATGTTTATCAATGCCGCGAATATTCGCGATTTCGAACTTCCTCCACCTGGTTAGAATTTTTTTCTTTTTTTTTTTTTTTCATAGTCTTTCCAACACCATTGAATTACACCATCGAAATAGAAAATAAACGAGCGTAACAAAGAGAATTTCAATTAACAAAAAAACCGGATCACTCGTGTTCAAAGTGCAGGACTAAGGAGAAAGAGGATCAAAATGAGAGAGTGCAGCGGAGAGGGAGGAAGATGGATGGAGAAATATGCCTTTCTCTTCGTTATCTCTCTTTTTCCATATACATATACATATATTTCTATCCTTTTCTTTCTTTCTTTCTTTCTTCTTCTTTTCATATACGCGAAAAGGAACATAAACAATAAGTATTTTTAGACCGTGACACCTGTCGTTAAATATAACCAATTCTTTTCTTTGCTTTTTCTCTTTTTTTTCGCGGGACCGGAAATTGTCCTTGAACGGTACACCTGGTTTTTCTGGTTTTTTTTTTTTCTTTTAAATATTTATGGAATAATAATCATATAATTATGAGCTAATATTATTGAGACAATTGTTTTCATTATGAAATATATATATATATATATATATATATATATATGTAAGCGTTCAAAAGATATTCAGAGACAAAAATCAGTACACATGAAAGTTTGATGATGAATATCTTTTGAACGCTTAATTTAATCGCCAAAACATAAGACACCATTTTTATAGAGCAATTAATTTCCTACAAAAATTTGTATTGTGCACTTTTTAATAATCATTTATTGTCGAGTTATAAAATTCATAAATCAAAAAAATGAAATTTGTCTGAAAATAATCAAACTTAAATCTTCAATATCATCCAAATGATGAGGTTTACGAAAAAAATCTAAGATACCTTTTTTGTAGAGCATTAAATTTCCTACAAAATTCGTCTAAAACATTTTTCTCTACAATCAATTAATAACGAGGTATGAATTTTATTCTATTGGACTGAGAAAAAAAAAAGAAAAAAAAACTGCGATGCGGAGGAGGACCTTCCTATTAAAATTTAGAGCTCATATTTGGTGAGGATTTTTTTTAAGATGTCTAGCAACCCATTTTTCCGTGGCACTTGTAAAAAAAAAAGAAAATAATTGATTTTTTTGACCCAAAAAAATATACAGTTTGTGGATTAGTCTTTGTTGCATTGTAATTGTTTTCTTTTATATTATTATTCATTATAATAATAATTATTTTTTTTGTTTTTATTAAGTTGCTCCTTTGTGTTGGAAATAATTGGTTCGGTAAAAAAAAAAAAAACAAAAAAAAATATATATAAAAAAAGAAAACTATATATAATATGAGGAATAAAGGAAAGAAAGGAATGGACGAAGGGCAAAGTTAGTAGTTTTTACCGTAAGGATTGCGTTTTCTATCCCTTTGGGTGGGTTGTGAAGCGTGGCAGTATACACCACCAAGAATGAGAGTGGTTGGCCTTCGAATCAAGTATCGTTGCTGATCTTCGGACTTTCTGCGTGCACTCTGCACAACTTTTAAAGCTATTCTGTAAGTACTTATACATATAATATGTATAAGTACTTATATATATATATATATATATATATATATAATATATAAAAATGTATACAAAAAAAAACTGTCCTAAATTATAAGTTGGAAAAAATGACACAAAATATAACAAATATTTCATTAATTACAAGATCGGTTCAGAAGTTTTAAAGTTCATTGATAACAAACAATGTGACACTTTGAATTTTTATATATAATAATAATAATAATAATAATAATAATAAATATATTTTGAATATGTGCATATAATGTAAGTTATAAATAAATTGAAGTAACGACTTTTAAAATAACTATCTTTGAGTATGGTGGTGCCATAGATAAACAAGCTATAAGATAAATATTTATTCAGTATTCGACGTTGAAGAACCGGAAAAGCACATTGCCTGTTTTAAAAAAAAAAGAAAGGAAATATAAAGAGATAAAATAATCATCATGTAAATTTATTTACGGTATATGACCGTAAATGACGTGATTGAAAAAAGATTTTTATATATTGGTACACATTATTATTACTATTATTATTTTTTTCTTCTTTTTTTTTGTATTTTTATTATTATTTTTCTTTTTCAAAATCTTAACTCACTCTTGTTCATTCTCACTGAAGTATATAAAACGTTCTTGAAATATGCAAATGTAAATAATTATAATACAAACAAAAAATGTTTACAATAGTGTAGTTATGGTATCTATAAAAAGATAGAGAGTTTTTATAAACTTTTATTATATAATTTATATGTTAAAGAAAAAAAAAATAAGTAGTAGTATAATAAATTAAATTATTTCAATTAATTTAAAACAAAATATATAGAAAAATATATATTTAAAATAAATATATAAAAGAAATATATGTAGAAATATATAAAATTGTTCTATGAATTATAATATAAATATTATATATATATATATATAATTATAATATAAATATTATATATATATATATAATTATAATATAAATATAAATAATAATTAATATATTAATATATATATATATATATATTATAATAAAATATAAAATATATAAAAATATATATTTATATATTTGTTTATATTATTTATTATACAAAAAAAATATATATATATATATTTTCTTTTTCTAATAAAAATGAGTTAATTACTTTTTCTATTTATTTCTTTTTTAATTAAATTAAAAATAAAGTTATACTTATACTGAGAGAGAGAGAGAGAGAGAGTAATCGAACAAAGGGTTTACTTTACAGTCTTTGTTTGCACAATACGTGACCATAGTAAAGCACAGTAGTATTATAATAATACTACACTCACTACACATTATACGCACATCTTACACACTATGAATTTAAAAGAGTTTTAAAACACGTCAAATATTTATCCAAGAAAATCGATCACTATGATCTCGAAATACGATCCTCTTTTCTGGTTGCAACCTGTTGTCCATATATATATATATTTTTTTTTTCCATTCGATATTTTATACTTGTGCATATTTTTTTCTTTTCTCTTTTCCATGGAAAGACGAACTTCAAGAAATTTTCGGTTCAAAAAACAAAATAGAAAAAAAAAATATCAATTATATATATATATATATCTTCTCTTCTTTGTACATGCTTACTAATCTCAAGGTCAAGTTATTTCTTATGTTAGAGTTATTCGATTAGAATACAAATATGATATTAGTATTAGGTGTTTGGTTGAAAAGAATAATAAATTCTTTATATATATATATATATTTTATATATATTATTATTTATATATAATATAATATATATAATATTATATTATATATAATTAATATATATTATATAATATATATAATATTATATTATATATAATTAATATATATTATAT